ATATTTTGCATATTAAATAAATGGAAACAGTAAATGTCGAAATAATCACAAAGAGTACACAACAGCACATAAATTTATATACTATATACATATTTATGTATATATGTACACTGGCAGCAAAATTAATAGACTCGTCGTACTTTTAAAAATTTTGGCTATATTTATTTAGTTTATTTTATGTTTAATATTTTCTTATAAAAGCCTAGCTAGTTATACAACAAACATCATACAAATCCGATTTTCAAACTTTGAACAAAAATTATAAGAATTCGACAAATTTTCAAACTTTCTATTCAGAGTTTTGGTATGCAGTTTTGTAGCCCATTCAATTTTAGTATAATAATGTGCAAGTTTCAATTTGCTACAAAATACCGTTAAATTCTGAATAAAAAGATTAAAAATTTGTCGAATTTTTGTCATTTTTGTATAAAGTTTGAAAAGCGGATTTATATGATGTTTGTTGCATAAGTACCTAGGCTTTTATAAAAAATATTACACTTAAAATAAACCATGAAAATATAGCCAAAACTCTTCTAAGTAAGGCGAGTCTATTATTTCTTCCGCCAGTGTATGTACAAATATTCATATACATATATGTATGTATGCAGATATTTTACATTAATACAATGTGATAAAATTATTTTAGTCAGCAGAACAATGCAAATGCTTTGCAGTGAAAACAAAAGTGCGCACTCGATTTATTTTAAGTAAAGCAAACAAAAGCATAAAGCGCAAACATATGAAGGTGGGCAGTAGGCGGGTGGGTGATATGTAAGGCGAACATTCAACCCTCTCTAGCGCTATTATATTATATGTTGTCTATGTACATTTGTATGTAAATTAATATGTAGGTTAAAGTGTTTGTGTTCGCGCCCCGCTGTTTGGGGGTGTGTAGGCGTGCGCAACATATTCAAAAAAAAAAAGTCGGCATTTTAATGCTGTTACCCTTTAGGATTGGTCTATATCGAAACAAGTATTTCCTGTTTTTTTCATTTTGAAATCAAAAAATATTTAGAGGCCGCTCAAGGTTTTCCATGTATTTTATATGGCAAAAAAAAAAACCAATTTCTCGTAGAAATGGTATAGAATTCTTGATTCTCTTCAGGAGACTTCTAATAATAATACCCAACTGTTAATTTTAGTATTTTTTTAATACTAACGATTTTTTATGGGCCCCCTATTGCATTTTTTGGGCGACCTATGAAAATAGTCCATATTAAAAAATGGTTAAATAAACAATTGGATATTATTATTGGAAGTCTTCTGAAAACTAGTAATTTTTAGCAAAAAAAAAACCGACTTCAACTCCCATATAAAAAAAAAATATATATATATATATATCTCATGATCCGCTGATCGGATCTTAACCAGATTAGTATGGGACCACCTCTGAGACACTACCTTTCCGATGAAAAAAAGAATTATCGAAATCGGTTGACGTGGTCCAAAGTTATGCGGTAACATACATAAAAAAAAAAAATATATATATATTCCGACGAACTGATAACCTCCTCCTTTTTTGGAAGTCGGTTAAAAAGAGTTTTGCGATCGATAGAAATATTGATTTTCAAGAATTCTATATCCACCATTTCTACGCAAAAAAAAAATTTTTTTTCCATATAAAGGGAAAATTTTCTACCAAAAAAAGTTTTTTTTGTTCCATATAAAATAAATGGAAAATTTTTATTTCAAAATAAAAGAAAACAAGGTTGAACTTTTTGTTCATATAGAACAACCCAGGAGGTGATTTAAAATTCCGACTTAAATTTTTTTTTGCCCACCCTAATATACTTACATTTGCACATATATATTTATAAGTATTTAGTTGTTAGCATGCACTATTCCAATGTTGGCGGTCAATGCTTTTCCTGCACTGGGCCCATTCAAACATATCTCAAGTGTTGTTTTTGTTTGCTTTCTCCTTTCTTTTGCTTTTATTTCATAAACATAGACCTTCCCCCATTTGCCTTCCTCGTGTAGCACGTGCTCCAATGACGCATAGCCATGCTTTGAACGATTTGTTTATATCTAGCTGCAGTTTGCAGATTGCAGACGATTTGTGGACAGTGGTATGAATTGTTGTTTATGATTTAAAAAAAATTATGTGGATGAAACTGTTAAGTTTTTCTATTAATCCAAAAGGAAGCTATTTTTAAGCTCAGAAGCGTTGATTTATCTACAGGTGCGAACTATTCCCAAAAGTTCGAGGCTGTATGGACTAGTTTGGAAAAGCACAGTTCGTAACTAGTTGTGAGAAAGAACCGCCTATTCTGGTTTTTTTTAGATAGTTTAAGAGCTCAGTTTGCAACCATTTGGGATCAGCTAATTAATAAATTTAATTAATAAAAGTCTAGCTCATTATAAAACAAACACCATATAAATCCTCATTTCAAACTTTGTGCAAAAATTATAAAAAATCTGCAAAGTATTCAGGGCTATCACAGAATCCATCGTAGCTTCGATTTTCGTGAAATCTACGAAAGTGCTATCACAGAATCCGAATGGCTACGAACGTAAATTCGAAATTCGTAGAGAGCCTTCATTGAATCCGTTCGTAATGAAGATTCGTACAGATACTCTACCACGAGATTATGCTGTCGGAACAAAATTTAAAATCACTCAATCTTAAAAACAGTGGAAGAAGGCTGCATTATTTTTAATATTAAATATTTATTATACTCCAAATTTGTTATAGTTTGATATAATTCCATATATTTGTGTAAACGTAGACGTAAAATACCAATGCTATACATACATACATATGTACATACACGCATTCATCTGCTAGACGCTATTTAATGAATTAATATTTTGCATGAATCGAGGAAATACATAATAGTTTAGCAACAATTTATTAGGAAATAAACCTAATTACTTTAATATCATAAAAATTTATTCAAAAAAAAAACTTTTTTCTATTTAAAATAATAAAATCTAAGCTAAAAATAAACTAAAAAAAAATATTTATTAAAAAAATAAACAAAAATTAAATAAAAAAAGAAAAAACTCTCCACCGCCCCACGACTCGGACTCGAACTCGGCTCTCTCAATTGGCAGTCTAGTGCTTTGCACACTCGGCCATTGCGCCTGATTGGGCAGCGTGAGCCAAATGACATACATAAATGTCTGTTGTTTCCTTTGCACTAACTGATTTCGAATCAGCATTCGAAGCTGGCAACGATATTTTCGAGTTCACTCGGATTCAGTGATAGCAATTTTTTCGTATTCGTAGCGGGCATTTGAATTCGTAGATTTTCTACGATGGATTCCGTGATAGCCCTGATTAGCTTAATTTGCAACCTTTTTATTAAGATTTAATTCTAGGGCAATAATGTGCAAGTGTTAAGTTGCTAAGAATCGCATTTCCAATATTTTTTTTCTGACTGCATGACGTATTTTTTCCATACAAACAAAAAATGTCGAATACATACATACATATCGTTAGTATGGAAAAGGCGTATTCATTGCTGAAATACAAAAAGCCGTAATTAGCTAAAAATCCAAAATTCACTTTTTGATTGATTATGATGCATTCCATCGAATTATAAGTCCCCACATCGTTTTATGCAATAAAAAATTTTATTAGTTATGGTTTTTTTTTGCATTTCAGCGAAGATGTGAGATACGCCCTTTCCTTCCTATACTAACGATATGTATGTATATAAGTATGTACTTATGTACTAGGGTGTACGATTATTCGTCCAGTACAGATTTTCGAGTTATTTGAAAAATTGAAATTTGTAAAAAAAAAGGTTCCATATCATGAAATTAAAAAAAACGGGTAAACCAGTTAAAATTATCAAAAGTTATCGGTTTAAATAGCTTTTACTTAGAAAAGAGCAAAGCAAAAAAAGTACAAACGTTTTTTAGATCAAAAGCAAAACATAAAAATCAGTGAAAAATCCACGTTTGGTATTATTTTAGGTATTTTTTTAATACTTTTCTTTTCTTCTGATTTTTCGGTTTTGAGTTTCGGTTTCTTGCCGCTATAGCAATATCAAAAATTTTTTTAAATGGCAGTCGCCCCTCTCCAGACAATAGCAAACCCCTGACTGTACTTTTAACATAAATGCGATCCTTCGGAGGTGAGGTGAGTGTTGATCTCGCCATTTGTGTCACAACATCAAAAAGCAGAACATGAATTGGTTGAGAAGCTCGGCCAAACACTTAGAAACCGTTTAAGCCTTAATTTATTGGAATCAAATATGATATACTGTTCATCCCCAAATAACCTAGGATATAATTGTAAAATTGTTTAGGGATTTCCCTTAAACTGGAAAATGCCTTGAAAGCTTCGAAAGCTTATTGAGGTGAAGATTTGTATCAAATGAAAAAACCGGCTAGCACCGGCGGGAGTCGAGTACATCACAACAACTTTCCACTGTATACCGACATGTGGAAATTAGTAGTCATACAGGCCAATCTACTTCCTATTTATCTTTCCCATTATACAGATAAAGGAGGTTCTGCACCAACGGTCGACCTTGTGATAACAAAATTCTGGTCGCGGTTGACCTGACAAAGCTACTCAATCCTATTAGCCGCGTCGTATCCTGGACTCGTCGTGATGTTGTTGTTGTTTGTAACACACAAATTCCCCAAAGCGTTTTTAGGGAATGATGCTGAAGTGACAGCCCTTGGCCAGATATGAATCTGGGTCCCTCCGGTTACGTAGACCCGACTGCCGTGGTAACGACTCGTCGTCACAGCTTGCCAGATGGGTGAGTGACGATTCCAAATTAGTTTAAAGTAACTAGTCACGCTATCGAAGCTAAGTCCGAACTTCACGAACTCAGCCACAAATACGCTTTTGCTCTCATAGAACGACGACGCTGGATTTAGCTTGCTATGAGCTCTCGAATGTTGGCACTATAACTTACATGTAAGGCTTGCTAGTTCCAATCGATTTCATTCAATACTTTGAACAATATTTCTCCAAAAAAATGCAAATTACCATTATTTTTAGCTAAACAGTAATAATATACTTGTATATGTTAGAGAATTATAAAAAAGAAACTTATTTGCAACTAAAATTTTTTTTAACATTTTGTATACATAATTATGTATGTATGTACATATTTACGTCCTTAACAGTCAAAGTATGCATACCTATTACAACAAACGCATGCTATATTCTTGCTCCGCGCGCCGTACTGCTGCTGCATAACAGCCAATGCGAATTATTTTTGCCTATAAAGCAATTAATCGCCCAGCTGTGGTATATTAAAGATTTTCGCTCGATGATCCTCCGATACTGTCAACAAGATGTTTTCATGTGGATTATAACACATTTCATAGATTTCCGCCATATGTCCCTCGAGGGTAAATTTGCGTGCGCCAGAACGCGCATCAAAAGCAATCACATTGCCATCCATTGTAGCTGCCATGAGCGTATGATCACTGAGCCACTTCAGCCTAGAAGACAATAACATTAAAATTGTGTCAAAATTTCTGCTCTTGATTTCCATACCGGGTTATGCCACCTTGAAATTTATTGGAATTGTCACCTTCTACAAAGGTGTGATCGCATAATGTGCGCAAATTATACTTTGTATAATCCCAAATTGCTATTTGTCCTTGCAATGTACCACTGGCAACTATTTTAAGGTCATTGGAAGGCGGAAATGCTAAATATTCTACTGAACCATCAGCCTCTACAGCACCCACCGGACCACTATTTGTGCAGAAAACAATTTTACCTGTGCAATTTGAAAAGAGGTATTATATGTATGTACATATGTATATAAATTTATATCATATTTTTATACACCATTATATTTCTACGAACCATCTGCTGCTCCGGCGGCGTAAAACGGTGAGTCCTTTTCACACGCCACCGACAATACAACCGTTTGCTGCGCCATTGGATTTTGTGCATCTACTTCCATGACCACTGTGCAACTCTTTAGATCCCACAGCTTGACTGCACCATTTGTATAGCCAACAAAGAGCCTCTTTCCATCACCGGTCAAATCGGCTACACCGCAGCGCACACCTTCTCCAGGTAGTATCTTACAATCGCCTGAGGGTATACGCCAGACATACACTTCACCATTTTCACTGCCCGCCATTAGGACATTAGCAGCACGATGCCAACACATCCAAGTCATATCGCCCATCGAGAATTCCCACACTTTGCGCAGCGTTAACTGTGGACTAGACTCACTCTCTTGCAACTTGTGTACAAATAATTCGCCAGCCATGTCGCCGGTGGCTAGATAAGTGCCATCGTAACTGAAATGGACATCGGTGACGGTGTCTTTATGTTCCGCAATTTCAAGCATCACTTCGCAAGTGTTTATATTCCAAACATAAGCGCGATCATCTTCACCGCCAGTAGCAGCCAGCGGCCGAGTAGGATGTAATGAACAACCAAATACAGCTGATTTATGCTTCATGAATGTTAGTATGGCGTCATCACGTTCTGGCGACTGCGAAAATCTGCCCTCCGTGTTTTCTTCTACATCAGAAAGATAGCCATAACGCGCTTCCAACTCTTCCATGGTGATTTCCTCCATTTCCAATTCGTCGTCATCGGGTGGCACATCATTGGCGAAGATTATCTCTTCAGCATCATCATCTTCAATTTCGTTTACACGTGGTGGTGTATTTTCACGCATTTTAAACGGCTACTTTTTTTAGCGGAGGGTGTATTTATGGCACAAAAACCAACTTTTCTTATTCTTTCACGATTTTCTTCGAATTAATAAATAGAATGTGACACAAAAAAGAAGTTTCATGAATGTCCCACGAAATAGTCGCCCCAACAAAAACGTCACACGTGTAAAAATCAGCTGATGAGCCGGCTGGGTTGCATGCCGAAAACAACTATTTCGAGCTGTGTTTAGTGCACAGTGTGGTGAGTGCTGCCAAGTTAGAGATATTATGGAGATTGACAGCTGAATCCCGCCATTTAATTAGCATATGCGACCAAAGGTACGAGCGTGATTTTCATTTAATTTTTTGTTTAATAAATTGTGATTAAATGTGTTGAAATTAAAAGAATAAAAAAAGTTATAACGAATGTAATAAAGTGTAAAGTGAAGGCGAATATAAAAACGTATTAATGAAGTGGCTGCTGTAAGGTGAGTATATGGGAATAGTGTATGCTAATTTCTGAATTTTACAAAAAGGCATATTTTCAACCAAATTTCTAAATAAAGTACTGGCCGAAAATTACAAAAGTAGGTGTTGAAATAATGTGTAGACAAAGGATGTTGCGAATGTGGAATTTTAGACATCCGCGGATGCGAAGGCGGACGCGGATGTTGAAAAGCTAACATCCGCAGATGTGAAGGCGGACGCGGATGTTTAAAAGCTAACATCCGCGGATGCGGATGCGAATGCAGATGTCAAATATTTTTAAGAAATAATTTTGGTACGTACATTAGGTGAATTAGGTAAATAAAAAATGGAAAAGTTAGTAATTTTAATAACGTTTTTTTTATTTTGTACTTAAAATAAAAAAATTGGAACATTGTATTTAAGAAAGAGTAATTTTGCTGCCTTTACGGGTTACATGTTTTCTAACGGGTCGCAAATCAAACCAGTGCCACTAAATAACTACTTGCTCGAGGCGACAAACTTAAAAAACTAGAAACTTGACAAAATTGTAAAGTATTTTCGATTGACGCTGCACCAGTTGAAAGGACTTTCAGTTATATTTCTTTTTTTATTGCGGTGCAATAATTCCTTTTTGGGAATTGCATCGGGGCTGCAAATGTCGCGAATGCGCATTAAATTAAATTAAATGTCGCATTAAAGGAAATGAAATTAAGTTAAATTAAATTAAATTAATTTAAATAAAATAAAATAAAATAAAATAAAATTAAATTAAATTAAGTTAAATTAAATTAAATTAAATTAAATTAAATTAAATCAAATTAAATAAAATAAAATAAAATAAAATAAAATAAAATAAAATAAAATAAAATAAAATAAA